TCATATGTTTTACGGACTCTCTATATATAGGTCTATCGACAGTTGAATTATACATCGACATCAGGTTTTACTATCATGTCACACAGACGAATGACATTTAAAGTACATACAATGGATGTGTGTGGGAAACTACTTAAGGTTTGGTCCGATGTCACTACAGGCAAATCTGCGCGTTGTTATATTCGTAGTGCCAAACCATTCAACCATTCGCAGAGAATTTCTGCAGCGGGGCATGCAGGGTCCCATTATATTTTTTAGTATACATGAACGACTGGCTGGATTGCTTAGATAGCGGGAGTGGTACAAGGTATTACGTAGAACGTTGGTTAGTTGAAGGTAACTGCTACATCGAGATTCATTAACTGGAATCATCTGAAAAGTTGTAGACGGCATCTACTCTGAAAGTAACTGCTCACCGGGCTAAGCCCTAAACCAATGTCGTAGGTTTTCTAAAAGATATTATTTAAATACTCATTAGATGATAGTATTACAATTTTAGTTCCTTTCTGGGACGAAAGTCAGGCGAGATCAAAGATAATGTCAGAAAATAGTCTGAATTACTGGGATATTTGTTGTGGTTGTTCACTGTAATCAAACTAACAGTCTCGCGAATGCAATTCAGACAACCCGTCGGTTTAAAAACAAAGCTAACTATTTAGAAGTTTACAATATCCACTACCAGGTTCTTACTGTCTAAAGAATCTGTCTTACTCCCATATTACCCTTAAGTTCGGGATACTGTTGAATTAGTGGACGACTGACCTAATATTTTGGCTTCAAATTCTTAAAGATTTAGTCTCCAGTAGTAGACAAACTTCTAAAGTTGTCCTCCAACGCACCAAACTAATCTCCGTGAGTGGGAATCTGCTCTTATCATTGTGCCATTTGAGCGGATCTTTAAAACTAGTACTACATTCCAAAGTAGTCGCATTTAATAAGTAAACTTTTCTAAGCTCACCACCTTGATAATTTCTGTGGGTACTTCTCTAATTTATACCAATGTTGGCCTGACTGTTAGGGTTGTGGGGGTATTCTTCAATAACTTTTATAACGAACATCCCAGGACACGCTTCTTTGTAGTTTGGTCCACTATGATATATGACTGCAACGAACTTGGGATTTTGAGCGGGGTAAGCAAAGAAGTCTTGATTCTGAACAATTGTAAGATTGTATGTTGCCACGGAAAGGTAACTCACTAATTGTCCTTAATTCCGATGATTCTTTTGCATCTTGAATTGTGCATCTTGCGAAGTTGTACACTACGTTTAATCAGCTGCCCGATGAGGTAGCTATTGAATTGCCCGAGATCAAGCGTGAGCCCGTCAGGACAATGAACTCGCAGTGCAGTGAGTCAGACCGTTGGACTTCCCACCAAGAGGTCGCGGGTTCGAACCTTAGCTGGCGTACAACCTAGGGTTGGGTAGAACTGCCTGCTGACGGCCTATAAGTCAGAAATAGCCATTCCAAGCTCCCTTGACGTTGGCGGTAAAGGTGATCTGCCTACAGTATGCTTGCTGCTGGGTAGTTGGTGGCGGGGTTCGAGAATAGGCCCCAAGGCAGAACAGAACGATTGCGTTCCGTAACCGATCGGTGGCTGCCATTTTACCGTATATTTATGTACATACATATATGCAGAAGGAAATTACCAGCAAAGATATGGGACACTAGGAAGGCCTTTTCTGGCAAATTTGCCGTCATCGGATAGTGATACCCAACTCCAACTCGAGTTCAAAACTCGAGTGTGGCAGAAATTTCAGCGACAACACTGGAGTTGGGTATCACTAGCC